TTCAAAAATTCGTTTACCTCATCGGTTTATAGTCTGACATTTCACTTATCATACTTACAATTACATAAATAAAATAACTAAAACTTAATATTTCAAAACGTTACCTGATAAATTTATGAAAAAAATAACAAATAACCACTTTTTAATCATTTTAGATGTCACTATGACAGATAAAATTTATAATTAATAGAATATAAAATTACAGAATGTACAGCGAGTAAAAAATTATGTGTACATCACTCTGAATAACTTATCTTTTAATGATCGGATTTTCACTTAGTAAGTGTCAATATTAATGATTTCTGGGGATGACCTCAAATATGTTAATTATTTAGTGTTAACTATTAATTATGTTGCAAAATCGGACACATAAACGTTCTTTTTTTTAATAAACATATATTTGTTTTTACATACTTGGTTTCTTAACCATCAAAATATAGGGAGTAGCCGCAATCTAGGAAATATGGTCACCATACTTTGGTCAAAAAAGCGATCCAAAGTTAGGACCCCTTCATGTTAATTTCACAAAACATTTTCAACGAATGTTGAGTTTTATAAAAGCGTGTTTCTGACAGAATGTTCGATAGGCATATTTTATCGGATAGAATGGGATGGAATGTCCGATGCATCATATTGTGATATTTTATTTCCTAGTTTGCTTTTTCTATAATTGATAGTTTCAGTAATCTACATACCTATGCATAGATTTGGAATAATATATTTATCAATTTCTTCAATATATATTTTATAATTATTAATACAAATACGGAGTAAAAATTCTTTATCATCTTAAAATTTCTCAACATCTTATACATCGCCTTTAATCTTAAAATTAATTTTTTAATTATCTGTCTGCGCATATTTCGCAGAATTATTTTACCCACTATTTAATTAAATTTTTAAAAAATCCTATTCTTTTCGCTGTCACGTATATTATTTTTTCATTAATATACTAATAAATTGTTTTAGTACATTAATTTAGGTTCTCCTTTAAAGTAAAATTCCTTTTTCAATTTTGTCAATTTTTTAATAGAAGAAAACTTAGTATTATTGCCTGCTAACTGAGAATAAAATCTTGTTAAGAAATTAAAAACATTCTGCTGTTTAAAATTATTCGATGCAAAACAGCTGACTGTTTACTAAGCAAACAATTTTTTTCGAAAAATGAAGATAAATTTTTACTCTTTCTTTATACTACCACGTAGATTTTTTTTCGGTTAATATACTAAATTATTTTGTTTAATTTTTATTGGTACTTACACTCTTAAAATTACACTCGTTGTTAGTAATCACTATTTTTTTTTCGAGTCACAGAATTATAGCCCGTTAGTTGATAAGAATTTAAGAACATTTTCTATGTTAAAATGACTCTGTGCAAAACGTCTGACTGATCGTTGTAAATAAGTGCTCCCTTTTCTCTGAGATTGAACAAACAAATTATTTATTTACCGAAATTTTATTTTGGCGTTTAAACTTATATATTACACCGTTAATTTTTAGACAGCAGCTCTTTTAAAGAAAGATTTTTAAAAATTTTACTTTTTGTTAAAATTATTTCTCAACTTTAGCACAATTCCCAATATATTAATATAGCATAATTTGTTTTTAGGAAAATGCTTTTTTTTTTGTTAAACAGTAAATACTAAAAATTAAAATTTGTATAAAGTTTCTGAAGCCGTGCCAATTTTAGAATTGTCACCTGATTTGAAAAATATAACAATATTTTGACAAGAATTGTATGCTACTGAAAGTAAAACCTATGCATTTTGATATTTTAACAGGGTGTCTTTTTAATGTGGTCTTTAAAAAATAAGAACCGTAGTATCAATATCGTAAGTATTAAGTTAACTTGAGCTTTAAAATTAAAATTTTGTCAAAATATTTTGAGTTAGTGAAATTGTATATTTTGTCTTTTAATTTTCTGTGCCACCATTTCAATATGTTAAGGACTTTTACAAACGCTGTTTAACAGGAGAGTTCCTTATCATATATATATAAGAAAACAAAGAAATCATAGTAACGGTATTTGGTGATAAATGATAGCTTATCGCAATTGAAGAACATGTCGTGTGATATTTAATAAGGAATTTGCGAAAATAAGTTTTATGACGTATCGCATGGGTCGCCAAACTTTTTTAATCATCGACCCCTGCATAAATTTTCGAAATCTCCATCGACCCCCCATGAAAGTAATTTTCTGTTAATTCTGTTAATGTTAGTAAAACTCTATTAGATACTGTGTTTGTACATTTATTTTATGATTTTAAGCATTTATTAAAGTAATTGTGTAACAATAGTTTTATGAAAAATATGTTAATGTTGAAATTTAAATACCTTAATATTAAATAATAAGTAATTATAAATAAATCGAAATAATAAGTAACTACAGATTTATTGCTACTTAATCTATGAGATGGATGTGCCTGGAGTGTTTTTGCAAGGTTCGCTACATTGGGTTCAAAATTGGTCAATTTTAATCTAAAACCCCTCGAAACACTACACATTTAATTTATTTCTGTACTTAGTTAAGATTGAAATTGCGTGACTGAAACCGGCTTCAACTATATGGGAACTTGGAAATGCTAGCATAAATGACTGATCTATTTCGTAAAGTTTGCATATTTTTGCATTATATTTGTCCAAAATTAGCTTTTTGTTAAATTTTTAAAAACCGTCTTTGCTTCAAGATCCGATAATAATTTAGCAAGCTCATCTCGCAGGTTGATGTCCACGTTTTAAATTTGAGCAGAAAAGGGCACAATAATCCAATCAGGGATGTCAATGTTTTATAAATCAACAAAGCGCAGTTAAAAATCGTCGCTCAATTGCAAATATTCAACACTGTTCACAGTTGGAAAAGATAGCTGAAACTGCGCATGATATTTGCGTTTGTAACGTCAATGCTCATCACATGTGACATTTGGACAAGCGCACATATGCAAATGACTTATAAACCAGAAGTGCAGAGTTCGTGCCACTGCGCGCTGGTACTTAAATACTTGTTTCACCCGAATAAATATACGTTTATCAATTTACGTTCTATAAAGAAACTTAAGTCAATTATAAAAAAAAAATCACACATTTACATACTCAATTAGGTATGTGTGATTTGCGTATTAAGAACTGTTTTTTCTTCGACGCCAATCGACCCTTCCGATTCGGATCGACCCCCATTCGACCAAAGATCGACCCCCACTTTTGTCGAATAGACCCCTGGGGGCTATATAGATCACTTTGGCGACCTCTGACGTATCAAAACATCAGGATGCTATTTGAAAATCATCTTGATCCAAAAAAGAAAAGGTCACCTAAATATCTGACAGATTTTTTAAACAATGAATCATACAATATGCAACACATTGTTTAAATATGTAATTCTTAAATATTACATATTTCAATGTTTTAAAATGCCATTTAACATCCAGAAATTCGATCAGTTATTTAAAAAAGAAAAAAGTTATATCGTAAATTATATAAATTCTTGTGAATGTGCATTATGCACTTTTTTTTGTTTTTTTAAACTTTCTTGCCTAGAAGACTCGATTAAAGCTGTAAAAATGTTTAACCCTAATATTTTGCATATAGTTATAATAAGTTGTTTAAATTTGGTTTTAGTATGTAATCCTCGTATAAATGAAGTAAAAACAACACAAAGCCCAAATAATGTCAGATAAAAACTTCGTGTATTCAAATTCGAAAAGCTTGGAGCATCGTAAATAAGCTATAAATTGATTCAAATTTTCTTTCCGAAGGTTAAGAAGAAGAAAAAAATCTTTGGATTTTGGTTAGAAATCAGCTGAAAAGTTGTCTATTCCCAAACTTCGAGATATTTTCTATTTGCGACTTCGCTTGGTTGTTTTTTGGGACTATCACCTAATATATACAACTTATTAGCCCCTTCCCCCATTTTATGATCCATCTTTTCGAAATTCTGTCTCCCCCCTTCCCATTTTAAGGGTCAGGTATCCAAGTATGCAAAAAAAATACCTGTTTATTCAGAGAAAGTGCATTTCGTAACTTAATTAATAGTTAGCACTAATTAATTAGTATATTTGAAGTCACCTCCAGAAACCATTAAGATTGACACTCCGATTTTCGGTCATTAGAAAGAAAGTTATTCAGAGTGATGTCTTTCTATTTTTTTAGCCACTGTACAAATCCATATAGTTAAAAGAATATCAATTGATTGGATTTGTGTGTTGAAAAATACTCCAAAAAAATGAAATTAACATTAAGAAGCCCGAACTTTCAACTGTTCTCCTGCCTTATTTATTGGGACGCTATTTCTCCATTTTGCGTTTGCCCTCTTTAATTTAAGGGTCAAGAATTAAATTATTTCAAAGGAAGTGTGTTTTTGTGTCTGATTTCGTAACTTAAGTATGATTTGTACGAACTTACTAGATCCCTGAACCATTAAGAATTTAGTCCCAATATATGAAAAAACTACAGTAAGAAATGTTGAAAGTGTTTACTTTTTTGTGCTTACATTATTCAAATTCAAACTATTTCTGCTTTACAATTCTGCCAAATTCCAAAAGAATGAATATGGGGGCTTGTTTATCATTTTAATGTGATAAAATGCTCCTTTACGGTTTTATCTTCCATAACAAAAATAAAAAAATTCTATGGTAGAGTAAAAAAAAATTACAGAATAATCAAACTGCATTTCAAAATATTTTCCTTAATTTGAATTCATTCTAATTGCATTTTCCCATTGTTTGACCCTATATGGTAAAAGAATGCGGATAAAATGTATCTACTGTTGAAAATTCTTCATCTTCTAATCTAAACGTTTGATTAACCACCAATCAATCACGTGTTACGATGCCTCCTGTTAGACTGGTGTTTCTACACTTCTTTAAAAGTTATTTGGCCCCTGTAACACTAACGAACTGTATTAGTTACTTATATTTTGTTTTAATAGTATTGTTTATTGTCGTAAAATTACGTATTAGTTTTTCCCACAAATTCAATGATTTTCAAAAATTTATTCTTTTTAGGTTGACGGGAAAAGATTTTTGCTAGATGTCAGCGGAGTTCCTCGTGATTGTCTTCTCCTGCCTTGTAAAATAGAATGGAAACTTGAATAAATGGACTTTAGTGCATCTATAATTAGATGTACGAACGAAAATGTCTTAGAAAAGTTTGGATTTCGGTATATAAAAATTCAGTTATTAATATCTTTAGATGGATTACTAACATAAAATAACTATAATTTTTTTTTAAATTTGTAATTTATTATCTGCTCATTCTAGTACATTTTCAAAAAAGAATTAATCCTCCAGAACGTGCCCGCTCCATTAGAGAAGCGTCGGGTTTAACGATGCTTTTGCGTCAAACTTCATTTACAGCATTGTTTGTTCAGCTTAGCGCGAGTTTTTCCCGTTGGTGTTCGTTAATGATTTGGTGTTCGCAGCATTGCCGCATTTTACATGGCTATTACATAGTGCACATTTTCACTCCTTAAGTGGCATTTTTTTCAAATTTTTTCTTGTATACTCAAATTTGATATATCTTATAATTATATATCACTTTCAATTTTCTTATAATTTATCTGTACATTTAACAGCACATACACATCTTCGACTCATATGAAAATCAGCCTCTTTTCAAACAGCTGCCATTTTGCAATGTGCCAGGCTAATTCGGAGAGTCTCAATAAATTTCCAATCAGACTCTCCGTTTTCAGACTTATGAATCCACTTCGTAATCATCGTCTCTAGTCATTTTTTCCCACTCTCATCGACATCATCTTACGTGCACTGAGGCCCATAAAGATCTCTGTCTTGTCCTCGATCCAGTCTTCCCTGATAGCTACAGCCACCTTTGTTTCTTTCCAACTGGTCCATTCAGCCTCATTCCTGACTTAAAATAAGTGTGACATCTCTGCCATGATTTTCTTTCGCACCCGGATACAAGATTATTCTATCGCCTATTAATCCCTATCCATCTCAATTCTCTGATTCTCATTATATCCAGTCCGTAGCTCTCCCTTTATTTCTTGCTTTATCTTTCCAGATTAATACATCGCGTTCCATGATCAGATTTTTAATATGTGTTAGGAATCAATGAGCGAGTTCGTCCACCTAATGGGATCCTTTTCCCTTGAATCATCATACACTGTAAAAAATTACTATTTAAAATACTGGCAATTTGAGAGCATCATTCACATGTCTGCAGCAGCATCTTAATTCTGTTGCAAGTTAAGAAAAAAATCATTATCCATATGTAGAGAGTTTGTTTGCTTCTGAGTGCATGCCAAATGGATGCCAAGCACCCAGCGCAAACTTACATCAACATCGCCAACTCTTGAAACTATATTTTTTCTTGCAGACGATTTTCTTCTACAGTGAAACAAAAAGAAAATTCCTTATCTCACATTTGATTTGATAAGGGCCCGTCAGCATAAGACGCGCCATTTTTAGTGGTTCAATCAAATCCAATGCTCTTGAAACGTCATATAGTTGTTTCTTTTTCAAGAACGAATGTTCTCCTTATATATCGAAATATGTCACTAAGTCTAGGAAGATTTCGGACTTCGGAACTAAAACCTTGTTAATTATTCTGTTATATATATCGTGAAAGAGAGCACGAATTAAATTTCTGTTTGATGTGTCTTAACTTAATATTGTTTCGAAGGCATATTTGTATAATTTTATCATGAAATGAAACGGAAATATATGCACTCTCGAATGATTAAATCCTATACCACAATGAACTTTTCTTAACTTGCAACTGAGTATAGTCTAGTTCGTAATTTGATTCTGGTGCATGCATAAACTAAAAAAATAATAAACTGAAATATATTTTCCGTTAAAATAAAAACAAAAATGGGCATTCAGAATGATTACCAGAGAAACATTCTTCATTATTGAATTTAGTTATTTTTATACGAGGCGAAATACTAGTGCAATTTTTCATTTCCTTTTCGTAATTCATTTATTGTATTGTTATTGCGAAAAAAAACATTGTTTCAAATTCTCTTTAATTAAGTAATTAAGTATTTCAACTAGATAGTTTCATGAAAATGACGGAATAAATAATGGATAATTAATTGGATTTGAATTTAATGCAAAGTTTTTCAAATCATATCTGGTTAAAAAACAGTCCTAAATCTCGGAACCCTTGTCACCTTTCAAGGGAACCCTAAGGTTCCAAGGAATACCATTTGGGAACCACTGACTTATGCAATATACTTTTCTATTCAAATTAAACTTTTTCTATTCAAACTAACTTTTTATTGAGTTTAGGGATTTTTGGATTATTTAACAATAACTTAGTGGGAAAAACCATCGACATTTCGTATATTGCATGCTTTGGACAATGCTATATTTTATGTGCAAAAAAAGGCATTTTGTTGTAAAAATATTTTATAAGAGCACAAAGTACCTGGAAAATTGAACTAAGCACCTGGAAAATGGATAAAAAAGTTTAAATTACTTTATTTTTTGTTAAAATTATAGCGTGGTTCCGTATGTTCAATTTTAGAAATGTACCTAATTTGCTCTTTCTAAAATTCTTCACAAAGTAATAATACTTATAAAGTGCAGTTATTTGTTAAGTATATATTATCAAGTAACCGTGATTCACGCAATTATTTTTTTTTTTGTAAACATCTTCTAGACCTAGACAGTATTTAAAAGTGTTACAGTGTCAGTCACCATCACAAACGTTCCGAAATTGGCTCGTTTTGTTTGAAAAATGTTTTTTAATGTGTTTCTAGAAAACTCATGCGCACTGCAATAAATTGTGAATTCCTGTAACTTGTAAGCACCTAGGCAATATTTAAAAGTCTTACATTGTCAGTCAACAACATGAACTTCCAATATTGGCTCGTTTTGTTTCAATTTAAGAAAAAGCTTTTTAATGGGTTTCTAGAAAACCCATGCAAACTGCAATAATTGGTTAATTCCTTTCTAACTCTAAAATTTTTACTGTAAGTGAAATTTAAACCTAATTGATGTCAGAGGTTTAAGTTTAGTTCTGTATTTTTTTCTCACCTTTTCAATGCTGCTCGTTGTGAAATTCTCTCCTTACCCCGATTTTTCTAAAAATAATTATAAATATCAACTTTTTATAAAAACTGAGTGCAATTTGCTATAGTGAAATGCTCAAATACTTTTGTGACAATTTTTATTTATAATCTGTTAAATGCATGTTTTTAAATATGTATATTTATATTTTTTTTAAAAAAACATTTCTTTTATTTCAGATGAGGAGGACCTACTTGGAGGAAATGTCTACTGATCGTGAAATTTTTTTGTTCAACTAACATTTTCTTTTGGAACAAGTTTTATCTTCGCTATTAAACATGCCTAAAAAAGTTCAGAAAGCTGGCAACAAAAAAGATAATGAAAAGAAAAAGCCTTCAAAGTTAACAAAAGTACTTAATAAAATATTACAAAATCCAGAAGTTAAAAACCAGGCTGACGGCACTCCATTGACAATCGGTCTGCTCAACCACTTAGAGATACCGGTTGAATCGGATTATCCTACAAATGAGGATCAAGAAATAATAGAAAATGATTTCTTAGGTGCGAAAAATTACCCAAATGATAATGTATATCCATCTCTCCCTTCTACTTCTCGGGAACTCTTCCATTCTGATCAAAAGAAGTCAAAAGAATCTCTCCCAAATGTGCCTCATGGGCACATCCCCAAGCACTCGCCAAGCACTCGCATTAAACAGGACTGCGCAACTAAAGATAAAAAACGAAAATCGAAAAAATCAAAGGTTTTGAGCAATGAAATCATCAATAGCGATTCTGATGACTATACATTTAAAGAAATCGAGGAAAAAATACCATCTAGGCCTCCCGTCTCCACTGAACAGCTGAACGAGTTGCAATCCCACCAGCCCCCAAACGATAGCGATTCCAATAATTGCGAAGTTGAAGTAAAAGACCAAATACTTTCGAAGCCTCCAGCCTCTACTGAGCAATTAAAAGAATTATCGTTTTCGAATTGTCCATCACAAGATTCGGATGAAAGTGGACAACTGACTCAGAAGATTCAGATATCCGAGAAGGACTCTATTGTGGTAACAAAAGACCCGAATTCTAACTCCGATCAAAGTTCTAATGTAGTAACAAAAAGTCCGAACTTTGATGCCGGTGAAGGTTCTGAAATGGTTACGGTAAGCACGAATTCCGATTCCAAAACAAGTTCGAAAGAAGTGACAGAAAGTCCGAATTTGGATTCCGAAAATAATTCAGAAGCGGTAACGGAAATAACGAATTCCGATTCAAAAACAAATTCTAAACTGATAATGGAAAGCCCGAATTCCGATTCCAACAAAAGTTCTCAAGAGGTAACGAAAAATCTGAATTCTGATTTCGATAAAAATTCTAAAATTGTAACAAAAAAACCGCATCCCGATTCCCAGACATTCTTAATTACTAAAGAAAATTTACCACCGGATTCTCAAGAGTTATTGTTTCCGAATTGCCCATCACAAGATTTGGATGAAAGTGAACAACTGACTCAGAAGATTCAGATATCCGAGAAAAGTTCTACTGGAGAAAATTTACAGCTGGATTCTCCAGAAAATGTCCCTGAAGAAATATATTACGATGCTCCTGAAGATGGGGCAACGACAACGGGCCAACCTTCATCGCTGGGTATAATTGAAAAATTTTACCAAAAAGGAATCGAACCTCATGTATTAACTGTAAAATCGAAGTGGCACAATTTCTCTAAGAAAGGCCCGGCTCCTGATCCTAATAAATTGATTTGTTCTGATAAGAGACAGTACATTAAGAAAAAAGGTAAAGATGGAAATCTTTATTACTCTGCCAAATTCATATTAGATGCCAGAGGTGAAGTGTCTTATGAAATTTTCGGAAAAAGAAATTTATTAATAGCTGATTGTGATAATTTTATCGCTAGAATTGAAATAGCCCCAGGTGAAGAATTGGATTTCACTAAATCTTTTAAGCACAATAAAGCAACGCTTATAGGGAGGGTTACAATTGTTAAAGTCCTAGAAGATGAACTTTTGGTTCAAAGAAACGAAGCTTACGACCTGTTTAAAAAAATTTTAGAAGCCAGGAGTGAAAAAATATCAGATTTTCAGGATTTCGCTGAGGATTTCCTACAGATATCTATTACGTTAAAAACCTATCATTTTTATATTAATAGACCGCATCTTCTGCTACAAGAAATAATGAAAAACCAGTTTATTTCCCGTGAATTGAAATGCATAATTGAGCAGCTCTTACATTTCGAAATGAGCTTGCAAAAAAGAAACAAATTATTCCCAACTTGCAAGTGTCCAACTTATTTCACACTTTCTGACTTATTTACAACTGTGCAAAACATACGCAAAAATAGTCTTAAAGTTCATAAACAGAATTTGAAAAATAAATGCTCTACTCAGAATTCCTACCTTATTTGTCAAATTCTTGAAATATACAAACTTCCCGTTGAAAAACTGTTACGCGTCACTAATGACGATATCAAATTATTCACAGATTTGGTGACCTTAACGAATGAGGGAAGTCAAACAACAGCTTCAATTATTCCATTGAAGTTTATCGATTATTTATGGAGTCACTTTTATTGCAAACTATCAACAGAAAACTGCATATCACTAATGGACTCAGGCTCTTTAACGCATCCTATCTACTTCTTTTTGGTGAAAAGCTTGAGAGATTTAATTGAAGACATTACGAGCAAGTCGACAACAACTGCTAAAGAGCTCTTTAAAAAAGTGGGTAGAGATTATGTAATAACAAAAAACATATCTTGGTCTTTAAACTGCTCTGCTAATCTCTCTCTTGAAAATCAATACACTTTGGTTTATGAGCTAATGAAACATTTTGAACCTGGCAACTACACACACAAGAAAAAATTCAAGTACAAATTTGCCTTGTTGGAAAACGTTGATGATTCATGGTTCTTGTCTGCTTTAAAAAATATGGTTATTAAAAACAGAAATGACTTGTTTAATATGCCCGAAGAGCGACTTATTTGGTTGTATATTGTTGATGCCGGAATAGCTCCCATTCTACAGGGTGAATCAAACGAACGTTTTAGAAAACTATCTTTGGCATTGCTAACAGGATTTTTAAAATTCGTCCAAAACGCAAGACATCTTCGATATGAATCCTTCCGCATAGCAGCTCACAATATCGTAAAATTTGCCGCCCAGATATTACCATACTTTAAAGTAACAAATACTGTATCCCAAGAGCTCGACCACAGTATTTTGGACAAACAAATAGACTTTATAGACGGTATTCTTGCTTCTGATGAAGGTGATGTCATTTCTAACCTCTTTTCAAATTTAATGGAAGTATACATCGAATACTGGGAGCTTAGAGAATCTATCATCGGAAAACTGCCTCTACGAGTACCATGTGTTATATTCAAAGGCTTAATGGACGAAATAATACTGAAAATGTTAGAAATAGTAGACAATACCCTGTCCAAACAAGTGGAACTACAACTGATTATTCAGTATTTTAGATTGTTTAATGAGTTTGTAAAGCACTTCAAGGGAATAAATTTCGCTTGGTTTATTTCAAAAAATATTTACATGGAAGAAATGAAAGAATGCGTCAAAGAAATAAAGAAATGTATTCCTTTGTCTAAGACTGAAATAATTACGTATGAAGTATCAGATACGAAAAAATTTCGTGATATTTTGAAAGAAAATGACAAGGTAGTGCCGAAGCACTTTTTGATTGAAACAGTCTTGGAACTTCTAAAAATAATAAATTCGTCTTTAAATAAAGCCGAATGGGTTGATGAATCTCGCCTGAAAGCTGCAGGAGATTTATTCTTAGCTATCGGACATACTTTTGCTCATTTCGAAGATCAAACAGACTACACAGACATTGAGCTCTTTAAGCGGGACTGCACAACGCCATTTAAAAGCGTTATAGATAATAGCCTTACGTATTCCGACTTTAAAACTAGACTGGATAATGTAGAAAACTATTATCTTTATGCTAGAAAACAGAATCAAATTGGAATTGAAACAGCTTTAGATCTCTGTGCGAAAGAAGTACAAAAAGCTCGAGAAAGTGGTTTCAAAACGAGCATCAACCAAAAAGTCTTAGAAGAATGTTTCAACAGGTATTCAGAAAAACTAATACTGCTGCAAAAGCTAGACATATCTGCCATTGTAGAAGATCTAAGGGAGCAGTTGAAGAAAGTGGATGTTTTGCCTTTTGATCGATGGACTCCTCACTTCAAGCAGACAATTTTACCTGTTTTGCTTGCTAACTTAGCTGGTATATGGACGATCCTGGAATCAAAAGATGTAGCAAATATCGAAAAAAGAATTGAACCTCATTGCATTCAAATTATATGCGTTCTCAGACTGATTGGTGCTGATTATTTGCACAATGGTGTCCCTAAACATTTTGCTCAAGTTTTGACTGGTCAAGGAAAGTCTATTATTTTGGGTTTACTTTCTTCCCTGATTGCTTTGACAGGTCACAAAGCAAATATAGTTTGTTACAGCAGCTATTTAGCCGTACGTGATCAAAATGCTTTCAGTGCATTTTTCGAAACATTTGAGCCTTTAATTCCTAACAATAATATCAATTATTACACATTTGATAACATGGCTGAGGATGTATTAACTCGTAAAATTAATGGGGTGAAGGTATCTTTGAGAGACGTTGTCAATGATCTAATTTTGAATAAATTGGAGACGAAAGAAATTGAAAAGGTTGAGAACCCTGCCGATTCTGTTTTGTTGATTGATGAGGCTGATGTTTTCTTTTCCGAAAATATTTACGGCCAAACTTATAACCCCTGCTCCACGATAGGTATGCCCGCTTTACGAGAAATTCAACCGAAGTTGTGGGAAATAGTTGAAAGCGGTATTTATGACAAAAACATTGTTTTAGAGAGAATAAGGGAGTTCATCAATGAACTGTTGAAAGATGAAAAATATGAAGATTTCAAAAACTTCATATCTTGTACGAGTGCTTTATTCGAAGAGAATTTAGACAAAATGGTCACAACAGCAATTACTGTTTCCAAAGAGAAAAACAATCCTGACTCCTGGTTCGTACAAAAGTACAAGATTGATTATAAAGGATTCATTTGCTACAGAGAGCGCCTTGGATCCTACAGTAACAAAACATATATCAGTTATAATAACGTGTTTAATTATTTTAGGCTAAAGAAAAGCAACTATGATGATAAAAACTTTCAAAATTTCGGATATTTTTTCGTCATTTGGGGATATATATCTTATGCTGACTTGCCATTAGCGTATAAAAATATTTTAGGAGTGAGTGGCACCTTGATGGACCTGAATGACCATGAAAAACGCGCCATAGAAAAGTATGGAATAGACACCATATCCGCCATGTCATCCTTTTTCGGGGATCGCAAACTGAAATTCGTTCCAAGTGAACATTTGACTATACAAGATTCAGTTAGCAATTGGCATTCTAAAATCTTTGATCACATTTCGAAGATTGTGCAAGACAATCGCGCTTGTCTCGTCTTCTTCGATACCGACAGTGAAATAAGAGAATTTGAGAATAAATACCGAAATAATATTAACCGTCTCTACACCCTGATTGGAAATGAAGAGCCAGAAACGATAGAATGGCGAATCAATGAAGCTGGTGTGGCACAAACAGTGACTCTAGCCTCCAGAGCTATGGGTCGCGGAATCGATTACAAATCGAACGATCGTAGTGTAGAAGATCTTGGTGGCATTCATGCCATCCAGACGTTCTTCTCTTTGGACAGTAAGGAAGAGACACAAATTCAAGGCCGGGTGGCACGTAAAGACAACAATGGAAGTTACGAGCTTATCCTTTGCAGGGAACATTTAAAAGAAATAGGGTGCAATGAGAAATCCGATGGGACACCCATTGCTACTTATCAGGAGCTTTGTGATGCTAGACTTGTGAAGGCTAATGCGAAAGGAGCCACCATTGCTGCAAAAATTCAAGAATCTGAAAAAGAGCATAATTTAACAATGGCTTTTTTGAAATCCCTCACTAAATATACGCCTGAGGAACGAGAAATGTACTTTTCTAAGTATCCATTTGTATTGCCAGAATAACATGTATTTTTATTTATGTCAAACTATCAATTAAAATTAATGAAATATCCAATATCACAAATAAATTGTAAAGAGCAATTTGGAAGGGTACACTGTTCTTTTAAAATTTCATAATACTTATTTAATATTTTTTTTAATCTTTCGCGAAATATGCAGTTTAGTTCAAAGCTAGAATAAGAAACTTCTAAAAGGGTTTGGCTACACTTTGATTATTCAGAATCACATAATCGGAAATGCAATCCTAACGTGATGAAGAGATATATATACTCTATGTAAATAGAATAATCTCATGGTTGTGCGATTTTTCCCTTTCTCCACACTTTCTCCCACTCCGTTACCGGAAAAAATCTTGCTGTGGATTGTGTTTTCTGCACTAGGGAACGCTGCAAGCTCCATACCGCCTATACATCCGGGTTACTGTTTCCAGTGCATTTTAAAGCCGTTTGGCTCACAATGTGATCATTGTGTTTTGAGATTCTTGCAAACGTGGCATTTGATTACTTATTATTTGTGTTTACAACGCTAACAATACTTGTGTTTACAGTGCTAAAGGTGCTAACACTAACGTAAGATGGTGCACAGCTTGCAACAAGAACAAACAGTAATAAACAAATGGAAGGAGGCCAAAACAGAGAGTTATTCAAAATCTAGCAACCATGTAACCTTTTTTTAACAATATACCTATAAATAACTAAAACAAATTTTCACTTCAAACTCACTAGAATTACTTAATAGAATTAATATCTTATGGAATACTGCAAATTTTAGCTCAGAAATTATCTATTTTGCTTCTTTTATTGAAAACAAAATTATCCGTTTGAAAATATTGCCTCGCAGAATAAGCTGTAGTAAGCAGTTGCAAACTTTCTAGCCAGAACTAGAGCAGGTATAGAGCTCGAGATTGTTATTGTTTACATTTATATTGAAAACACCATTCATTTCAACTCTCCAGCATATTCCCAGATATTACTGAAACGCACTGCCGTCGGGAAAATAACAAGATTTTAGGTAACCATGGTAGCAGAGACGAGAAAAGTATGGAGAGTGGAAAAATTAAGTAACTTGAGACGCCTATTTACAAAGACTATAGAGGCTGTCGAAATGGATAAGACGGAAATTACGAATTTGTTACAATCACAAGCTAAAATAAATCTGAAATATATGATTATTGAATAGGTATTTTTTTTAATTTTATTTCAAAGTATAGTTACAGCAACAATCAATTTGTATGTCCCTTAAAAGAATTAATCTTGTTATTATGGATATTATCATGCGAATAATACTTAACCCCTAATCTAAAATATAATTAAACTGAAGTAATTTAAAATGCATGCGTTATTATTTTGTAAGGGCAATTTGTGTTATAGTAATTTAGCGCTATAATTACTCGATATCAATTTTGTTGTGTTATTTTATTTATATAATAATTCCATTTGAGACAATTTTAAGTCTGTATAATCAGTATCGGCATTGCTCAAAAAGGGAACTCAAATCCCAATTGAAAAAAAATATATTGTAAAATAGTTACAAAGATACCCAAATGGACTGCAATATCCGTAAAATAATGCACCGTGTAAGAGCGTAGTGTATGAAATCTTCAATTCTCGAGACAGCATTACTGACAAATTTTATTGTACTTTCTGATTTGAACTAATGCATTTTTCTAAATTTTTATGCAAATTGTACTTTAAAATAGCAGTTTAGATTTATGAACTTGAAGCCAACCTCCCTTTGTCTTATTTGAAATATTTGCTTTTTATAAAGACTGGTCTGTAATAATTGATCTGCATAAAAAGTGACTTAATTTTCAGATAATGGATTCTTATCCTGGTAATCCATAATGCAATATTAAATTGCTCAAAATCTTATTAGATACTCGAATGTATACGCAGCTCTTTGAGGAGAATAAGAAATCTATGAATCACCCAGCTTGGATTTCTGACCGATCTTATCATATCAAAACCTCTTAAATCACTGTTGAATCGTTGTTCTAATTGAGTCACGCCTAGACTGACCTATTATTGCCTTAAAAAATGAGATATTTCATATTTTTTTCGAAACAAAAATCTGTAATTTTGTGAAAACAAACTCCAGAGCATCGACAAATATTTTAATTTTATTCACGGTGGTTAATTCTCTTAATCGAACGGTTTTAAATAAAATTGAAAAGGTAAGTGTCTATGCAGTGTAAAGTGGCTGTGCTGTACATGAAAGACTTTTTACTGCTCTACTTGGTGGAAAAATGAGGAGATAGGAAAAAAAGATTCACGAAATTTTAGAACAACTTCGAATTGGTTTAAATTGAATTATCTTGTGAGAAAGAAAGTAGGAACATTTAATTATTTCCATTTTATTTACTGTAGACTTTATTTAGGGAATAGAATAAAGCAACTAAAGATAGCTGAAAATCGGTTTTCGTTTGCCAACTCAGGCAACTAAAATTTTTTGCATATAATTTGCTTAAATAAGGCTTGTTAATTAAAAAGCACCAAGTTCACCAAAAAATATTTGCACATTAATATTTTGCACGAGGTTAAAGTGGTACCCCAAGACTAGTAATTTAAAGTTACTCTCAATGTTTTGACTAAGTAATATGTTTTTCTATTGAGAACCCTGAAATGACTATTTTTAAAAAAAAAATAGATATGAAATTAACAAAATATTTCATATTAATGATTAAATATTATGTTTAATGTTAAGATTGCTCTTAATAAATACACATTGAAGAATAGTATTTTATAATAATTTTTAACAGCATGGGGTTACTTACATAGATGAATGTTTTAATAGAAAAAGAAGTTTTCTCATGTTATGTCAATCCAAATTATAATACGAGAAAAATTATTTTAATATAAAACAAATGTAATAGGTATTTAATTATTGTGGTACATTTTTTACAAAAAAATATCCTGATCATCTAAATCATCATCACTTTTTATGTCAACACTTCAACAGATATATCACAACATTAATTTTTTTTTTGTCCCTTACAGTTTTTGCAAATTAGTTCATGATCATAAATCAGAACAAGAAATTGCGCTTGATTTGCATGTACAGTGAGCAAAATAAAAAACCACCCTGATTAACTTTTGTTCTAATGATCGGATCTTCACGTTCTAGAACTCAATCTTAATGTTTCGAAGGGGTGACATCAAATATGCTAATTAATTTGTGCAGACGGTACTTTAAGTTGCAAAATCGGGCATAAAAACGCACTTTCTCTGAACAAACATGCCTCTTTAATGGATTCGAATTTCTGACCTCAGTAGCTGAAAAATCTGGGAGTATGGTCCCAAGTTTGGACCCCATAATGTTAATTTTACTTTCTGTGTATTTAGCTATATTTCAAGCGAATTGAAAACTTATGCACTCAGTAATAAAATTCATTTATCCAAAGATAATTCTATGCAAAAAATAATTTAAGTAAATATTTTTTATTATTTTATTTAATATTAGTCAGAAAATTTTTGAATTGTGAGGTATAGAATTTTTTAACATTTTAAAAAATATCATTTTACATGGCAAAATACAAAATTTGAGTGAAATCGGTCGAATAGTTCCTGAAAAATCAAATTTTAAGAAAGTCGTATTTTAAAAATTCGATTTCATAGGAACTATCAGACTGATTTTACTCAAATTTTGTATTTTGCCTTGTAAAATTATTTTCTTTGAAATGATATCAAAAAATTTTATACCTTGCTATACAAAATTGTTTTGACTAATATTATATAAAATAATTATTTATTAAAAGTTACTTTTCGCTCGGAATTATCTTTAGATAAATGAATTTTATAATTGTGTGCAAAAAATTTATTTTCACAGTTGGCTAAAATAATTCGTTTATCCAAAGATAATTTTATGTAAAAATGATTTTAATTAATTTTTTTATTAGTAATAGTCGAAAAAAGTTTGAATTGTAAAGTATACAATTTTTTTTTTAAAAATAAAATTTTTTATTTTAAAATAAGAAAGTTGAAAAAATTAGTTGAATAGTTTCTGAAAAATAAATTTCAAAAACTCAGACTTTTTGAAAACCAATTACGAAGGCAACAGTCATTTTTTTTTTCATGCACTGCACTCTATCCACAAATATCAAACATTAATTGCTAAAATATCCATGTTAAAATAAATTTATTACAATATGAAAGCTGAAAAAATGCACCAATTTCTTCTAATTTTATTTTCTAGAAAAATTATTTCTTAATATAATAATTTTTTAATGTGTTTTTGTCTAAGATACCTAACCATCTTTAAGAATGTTGAAAATTAACAATAATTTTTGTTGGCTAAGGTTGAAATACTATTCTTTTTTTTTAAATCATCCTTAAAGATAATTTCTCATATTTTTTAAGCTGCGTGTGAAATTTTAATGAATTATTCGTTTCACTAGTTAACTATTTATTCAATACCCTCTTTCTTTAATTTAAAAACTTCCGATTGTTTTCAGAAAAGTTTGAAGGTTGAAAAGATGTGTTTTATTTAAATTGAAAAAGACAGTCTATCGCATTATTTTAATCCAAAAGAAGAAAATAATCAATTTACTAAACATTGATATACCAGGATATAAAGTCATACATTTAATTTACTCCTATCTTTACTTTTTTCTCTTATTGATTACATTTTTTATATAACTTTATTGAAATTAAATACCTATAAAATGGATATAGTTCGTATAATGTAAATTTGATGCATTTTGGCAGATTTTCACTTTTGATAAATTTTTTCTGAATATCTCTTTTGAAATCTTACTCTCTTTTTCCCCCAAACACACAAAGTTTAAATTCTAAAAATCTAATATATATATTAAAAATTTTAGTTTTAGTCTTACTTTACAGTAGCATCAAGTAAATAAAAAGTAAAGGTGTGCAAGAATGCAAAATTTGGCAAAACCAAATGTGAAACAGTAATGTGACATCGCGATGTTTGAGTGGCGATGCATCACGATGCTGAAATCTTAACATCGCCCAGTCCTCTGGCTACCCCTTATGTCTCGGGGGTCAGAAATCAGAATCCATCGGGGAAAAAAAGTATGTTTATTCAAAGAAAGAAAGTTTTTGTCTGATTTTGTAACTTTAAATATCGTCT